ATAGATAGATAGATAGATAGATAGATAGATAGATAGATAGATAGATACTTTATTGATCCCCAAGGGGATCAATAAAGAATAGAATTGACTTTGAGTACAAGTCAATTCAAAATTGCCAACAGACTTAATAAGGACAGAAACATCATCCTTTCACTTCTAATTAGGCACCACAGCGTTTGGAGCAGCTGTTTGAGAAATAAGACGATTAAACTACAAGCCACGTGAAGCAACTGTCAGCCAATCATTGAGGGGCTCGGGAACTCCACCAACCATTGACCTCCGTATTATTAATAGCCTTCACACACTGCAGCGTAGTTATGTGGAGTGATTTTGTTTAACTGTGTCAGGACTTGCTTGACCAAATAGCTCGGTACTCTGATTAATTACCACGTTAAATTCCCCTTTCCCGACCCCGAGTCTATCAATAAATACAGCGTGCGTGATTTGTGGTGGCTTGTGAGACGGGAGTAGCGTGATTTTCCGTAAAGCGGCCTACCTCCTGCTCCTGGGTGTTGAGCGAGGAGCGGAGCGGCTTACTTAAAGCCCGGCTCGGTGTGGGTGAGGCCGGCTTTCTCACATCTTCCTCCGCAGGGTCCGAGCTTGACATGGCATCGCCCGGTTTGTCGCTTTCCCCCGCGGCCGAGAATACCACCATCACTCTGGGTAGAGGCAGCGTCCTTCTCTCCTGAATGAACCGCCTCACCCGCGTAGTGGCCGAGGGGAGCGGGCTGAAGGAGGGAGACTGGCGCTCCCTGCTGCAGCCATCAGAACCGTTGGAACCGCTCGAGCCATTCTGCTGCATGCACGCGGCGGGCCAGCTCTCGGCGCGAGAGGATGACAGTACGAGCCACAGCGCGCGGACGTCGGGACGACCAACAACAATAACAACAACGCAGGGTGTCGGACGGAGGGTGTGGCTGGAGCAGCGGCCGGGGCTCAGCCCACCTCCCAGCGGGACAACAGCGAGAGCCGGGACGGTCCACCTCCACACACGAGAGCGCGCGCACCGTAGTAACTATGGGCTAACTATTTAATCCGAACGGTAAACGATGGTGGGCCCGTGCAGTTTTTTGGACCGTACGTGCTCTGACGTATGGGGGAGAGATAACGTCATCACGTGGGGTATGGGCTGAACGTCTTCTAGGGAAAAGTTCATAATTTGATTAATGAATTATTCAATACAAATTTTAAAAAAACATGTGGTGAGTTTTTTTTAAACCAGATATTCTTTTTTCCTCATTAAAATATTGAAATGTTTGTAATTGATGGCATTAATTGATGGAATTCAGGGTATCAAACTAATCCCAAACGGTTCTCAGACTGACAACTTGAGTTATTCATCATTCAGGTTTCAGCACATATAAATGAACGGGTAAGGTTTTCAGAAGGGAGGATTTTTATAAAAAGTAAATGCAAACAAATGTTAAGTTTAAAAAAGTGTTAGGTCTGCTCTCATTATTTGACTAAATCAGCAGGAAACTGATGATCCATTTGTTAAGTTTGATCATTAGAACTCAACATCAACAGTGCCAACTGTATCAGTGAATAGGGAAGCAGAGCTGTGACCAAAATGAGTGGTATTTCATTGATTCATTTACTCTGTTCTGGATTGGTGACCCGTCCAGGGCGTATGCCGCCTCTCGCCCGGTGTCAGCTAGCTGAGCCCTCCCCATGACTCTACTGGGAATAAGCAGGAATAGATGATGGACATTAAATGGATGGATGTATTACTTCTTTATCAACGCATTTTTTCCCTCAAAGGAAAAATCTGCATGGATACCAATCCTTAAATACAGTCTTTTCTCTGTGTGGTTACAAAAGTCACAGAAGTATTAATAAGACGATTGAACTACAAGTATGGGAAAATACTACTCTTTAACCAAGAATGTAGTAGGTCTTTTTTATTTTTTAGAATAAGCGGTTGCGATAATGGATGGATAGATATTTTCTTATTAATTCTGGGGGAAGATATGCAGGTACCTAATCAGGATTTGTCCACCATAACAAATTGCTTAGCTTCCATCTCCTACATGTTAGCTCATGGTAAAAAATAAAAAAGATAAAAAAATGGCTAGCTTGCACTTTTAAACTTTTCTGAAAGTGACTTAGGAGGTAAAGCAAACCAAGGACCATCTTGTGGTTTTATTAAGTGGTTTTAAATCTGTCATTACACGTATGACTAATTTACTTTTCTTTTTAAAAAGTGAAAATAAAGCATATTTTCATTTAAATATTTGACCATATTTTAAAGGAGGGTGGAACGCCTCTCCTCTGCTCGTGTAGCAGAGCCTCTATCTCTGCCTTTTGGTGTTCAGCTCGCCTTTTATCTTGTTTATGCGTGGTAACCCCCGTGTTTCCTCTACAGAGAACTCTCCCTCTTCCATCTGGCCTACGAGCGTGTTTCTCTCAGCACAAGATGAAAGCAGCAGTCTCTTACTCATAAAGAACCCCCCCCCCTCAAAAATGCATTACTGCTGCTTTCAGGCTGATGCTCATATTCTTTAGAATTAGTAATACCTTTCTAAAACAGACATACATTCTTTTGTTTCTTTCATATGTTTTGATTAGTTCTTAAATGCTCATTCTGAAATGAAGTAATGGAAATATAGACTCTTAATTTGACACTGTCATGAGTCAAGATTAAGCCAGTGTGCGTTGAATGAAACCAGAGCCTGGTCCTTCTTTTGAGGCGAGCCTAGAACCTATTAAGGAAGTGTATATCTTAGAGGAACCACAAATATTTGTCTTGACCTTAAGCTTTTTAGTTTCCACCGAGGGCAGACGAAGCAAACTGCGCTGGCTGAAATGCGCCGCTCTGAAATGGCACTCCACGCCAGCGTGTAGGAGTTGTTTATAAAGCAGTAAAACCTCAAGCTGCAGTTGTGCTCAGACATGATCAGTGAAGGCAGCACACCTCTGCGAGCCGTGAGGTCTTCGGTCATACCTCGATCCAGAACTGAGGTGAAACACAGATCAGTGTTTTACTTGTTACAGTTATATTCCGTCCTCTGTTATCAGGGCCGGGTATCATGATGTTTCCTCTCTTTCCTCTGCTGAGCAAACACAGAACAGCTGCTGTAAATGAGGAAGTGACCTTTGCTTCATTTACTGAACATCTCCTCAGGTCATCGGCTTGAGTTTGGTTTGTGTTTTGCTCATGTTTACAACAAAACTGAACTCTTCGTCTGACTGAAAGACAAAGATGACTGAATTTAAGTTTTGATGCTATGACCAGCTAATTATTCATGTCATACAAATTTAAGTGAGCAGATTTTGAGGGGCAACCCAGCAAAGGGTGGAAATATGCCAGGATTTATACCTTTGACCTTTGGTAGGGCTCCATTTTGATTTTTGCAGGTTGTTCAAATTCAACGTTTAGAATCAATGTCCAGCTAAATCCACTGTTGTCCTTCCACACCTCATTAGAACAAAAAGCTATCTGTATTATACACCTGCTCTTTAAACTGTTTGTCATAGCTGTATATAATCTTTCAGAAACAGCTTTGGTTTAAATTGCTTTATTGTATTCCATGCACATCCCCTAGAACACTATTATTTAAATAACATGTGAAAATATAAAAATTCCTACAAAACTCAAATACAATGAAAAATATCAATTGAAAACTAGAAAAAAGTCATCACATTCCCATTCCCATGACAATCCATTTTCCCAGAGCTATGCGGGAACAGATCTATGACTTAAGAACGTCGACAATGTCACATTAAGGTCTTGCTCCGACGTTGTCGTGGCAACCAGTGGCCGACGTAGACGTAAATGTCATGGGGGTGATAGGAAAATGTCCCTTGTTTGTGAGTGTGAATTTCAAATGTAAGATGACTGAAGCAGAAAGATCAAAACAGTGTGAAAACAAAACATTTCATACAATCAATTTTATTTTTTTGTTTGTTGCCAGCCTAAAAGCCTGAAGGTTAAGGTCAGCGTCCAATGTACCAGCTCCTTACTGGGGGCTGATTTCGATGTTAAAATAATTCCTCCTAGAACAATATATTGCCCTAAAGTGCTTTGGTTGAAATGTCAGTGACTGGAGAAAGTTGAACTACAACTTTCAACTACATCATTAAAATAAGTTTGTGTATGGCTGGTGAGCAGGTTTTGGAATTTCTTTTTTCTTCATTACTTTGGTTCTTTGTACAGTAAAATGGCAGCACTAAAAAAAACATTAAAGCATCAAATGACTTTTTCTTTTTCACACCACATGAAATGAAAGCACAAGCAAACGTGTTAACTTTACTCCATGTAATTCACCGGGTGACACACTTTTACTGGAATCACTGTGGTAGGTTTTCTCAACTGTCACAAAAAAGACTTTTAAAAAAGTCAAAATATTTAAATATCAAATAAATATATGTTTTAAAAAAAAAAAAGTTATATGTATGGAAAAAAAGACTTATAACAACAGATAAATGCGACGTGTTTGACTCAAGAGAAGCAAAAAAAAAACAAGTTGCCTGATCAGAAATGTTCTGCTTCCATTTGAAACCGCACGGGCAGGCAGGCGCTCGACGGATGTGGGGAGGTGGTGAAAGAGGAAGCACGGTGCTGAGTCTAACTGCTGCTGCTCTGTGAGCGTGCTGGAGAATGAAGAGAGATGAGCTACTGAAGGTAACACTGCACAACAGCAGATACGATCATTTCTACTTGTGTGCTAAGGCCACAAATGGCCTTTTGGGTAGTGTTTTTTAATTATGTGAATGCTTTTAATGTGAGCTGATGATATGATGAAAATGTTAAAACAAAAAATTCTGAATCCATGAACACATATCTTGGCATCTAATTTTGCTGCACACTGATTTGGGCAACGTGATCGCCTCAAAAACAGGACGGATTAGTTCATTTTCTCAATTTTAACTGCATCTTCAAAGTTGCGTTTTCTTTTCTTTTTTTTAACTTAAGATGGTCCACATTTTTCTGATCTAAGATTTTACAAACAAATGACCGCCCATTCAGAAACGTAAATAATGGCATATACATTTCAGAGCAGAAAATTATGAAATAAAAAGCATTCCTGTACACAAGAGTTGCCCAGATGAGTTGCAGTGAGGAAATATTGCAAACACGTGAGCTGCTTGATGAGTGCTTCTTCAAGTTACCTAATATCAGCTTTTCTTAACCATAATCATGCCATACAGCATAGTTTTACTAAAGTAACATTTATTTTTCATTTTCAAGGACAATGTAATATTCTGCATCTCTATGAAACCCAAAAATGATTTGCTTTGTAATTTGATCGTTAGTTAAATTCCCATTACAATAAAGTTATATGCTCAATGGCTGGTAGTGCATTGTAATGTATGAGCAATAAAATATCAAGTCTAACGTGTGACAGAACACATCTGGCATTCAGAAAATAGGATGAGAAAGGCTGAGGAGAAACCATAATCTGAGTCCAGTACCTTTCCAGTTTTTCCAAAACTGAGGTGTTTCTACTCTCTGATTGAGTTTTTGAAGTTTTAAGTTGACGTTACTCTTCATTGTTACACTACAGGAACGCTTTTTAGATCCCAGGTTCATCCAAAAGCATCACACATATACATGTACCTCAGCCTTGATATGGAAACCCAGCAGTAAACTGTGACTGTACCACAGTCTGACGAAGACGGAAAACTCTTCGCCCGCTGGACTTACTTTCCAGTGACATCATACACCAGAACATGAAACAAGAAATTGTGTCTACCTGTGTCCATTTATTTTTACATGCTCATTACACATCTTTGCTCTTCTTACGGTCGACTTATGGTGAAATATTTCTCAGTTTACCACTGAAAAGTCATTATTTTGTTTAAAGCCTGGGCACCCGTTTGTTTTTCGGTCCCTTTATAAAACCTTTGATAAATATGAACAGTTTTGTCGAAAACATAGGACATGACATGTCCATAATAGCAATTTGTCGTGTATGACCTTAGTACAAGTAAAATGAGTCACTTCAGTCTCAACAAAACATTTGAAAAAGTTCTACTCTTTGAATTCTTCTGAATATGATTTAAAGAGTTTGTGTACACTATGTGCTTAGGTAAAATGATATTATTTCCAATAGTCTGCTTCTACACTGGAAGGTTTACTAACTAGTCCCTGCCAATGCGTGGGATCTCCCCAGCTACTCCGGCTTCCTCCCACTGTCCAAAAACACACACACACGTGTTTCGTTTAAGTCTCTTCAATGCCTATGGTTATAAATGGGAGTGTAGGTGGTTGTGTGTCTCTGTGTGACCCTGTTATGGATTAGTAACCTGGGATAGGCTCCAACCTGACCCCCAACTGCAAAACCTCCAGGATTAAGCAAACGGATGGATGGATGGACCTTTTTTCCAGATACCTTGGGCTCTGACCATGAGATTTAGTTTTCTTCTTAACATCTTAACTTGAATTTTTTCTTTAGCTTTTCCTTGAGACACCCAATTTAAAGTGGAAGCAGTTCCCATCTTGTGAAGGGTAATTACTTTACGCACTCCTGTAAGTAAATCAGGCCGAGCAAGTAGCCGGTTGAACAGAGAAACTGAAGAAACAGTAACTCATGTGCTATCGAGGTAAGAATCCAAATTACTGAAGCCGTTCCGATCGTGCTTCTCGGCTTTATTGAGGGCACACAGTGCTCTTTTTCTTCCGCCATTTTACTTTTCGAGGTGAGAAAAATGTCACCGTGTGTTCAGCCTTGTAGGTGAGAGTCCAAAAGCAACGCCAGCAAAGGTTTCTGTTTAGTGTTAGCCGACCACATCCTCTAGTCTAGTAGACCCTCCTGGTGAGGAGCATACGGCACGTTAACCGTAGGTAACGGTTGACCAGCACTGGCACACATTCTGCTTAAGCGAACGTTGAACCGTACAGTTCAGGGTGACAACAGCCGTGTGTGTGTGTTTCAGGCATGCAGGTGAACTTCGATGTGCAGGCAGCGTTTCTGACCGTCGTGTCAGCGGCGTCCCTGAGTCTGCTCTCACTTCTCTGTCTGCGATGCAGAAGGAAAACCAGTAAGTGGCTCTCTCTCTCCGTTATCTCCACGATGCGATTCCCTCCGGTTGAGCCTAAGCTGGGATGGGGGGCGATGAGGTTCCATCCTGTGGAGCTCTTCACGCCAAAAACGCTATTCGTTTTTTTACGATTGGCACAAGCAAGTGGTTCCATTGTCCTTTTTCAGTGGTAGTGTCCACAAAAGTGTGCTGCATTCATTCCCCAGGACATTAAAAAAACAGGGAAAATGGCAACACAATAAGTCGATTTCCAATGATTGTGCTCGGTAATTTAGACTGATGGCAAGTTTTGATATTTTAAAGAGCACTGCGCAGCTCATTGCGTTTTTTCTCGACTTCTTTCACGCGGCAGCCAACTCCTGCTCCACATTTTCAAAAACAGTTACGCCACAGGCCCAAAGGGCGCCAGTCGTGGCCCAAGTGACCCGTTTTGTCTGCAAAAGGCTCTAACCAGGCCAAAATATTTCAAATATTAATTCAAAGCTAATTTTTTCCTCAAACAACACAACTTGCAAACAATCAATCAATCAATGTTTATTTATATATAGCACTTTAACAGCTGGAGCTGACCAAAGTGCTTTACAGAATAAAGACAGATCAAACTATCGAAATATACAAAGACAAATACATTGGTGACAGAACCAGTATACAGAACCCAGTATACAGAGATTTTACAAGCAAAAAGCCATTCTGAACAAATGCGTTTTAAGGTGAGCTTTGAGCACCAACTGCATGAGCTCTTCCACTCAGTCGTAACACAACAGAACACAACCTTTGCATTTAAGTCGATCACCGAGTTTTCATGCCAGAGCTGCTTGTTATATTTGGCCGAGTCAAATGTTCCGTCTCGTAAAGAATTGGATCCAGAATCAGAAATGCTTTGATGCTAATTCGATGAATTCCTTGACATTTTTTGTCAAACTGTGGCTGAAATACTGTAGATATTATAGAAAATGAATGCAAACCAAAATCAATTATATCAGAGAAGAAGAGCTTAAGAAAATTAAAAATTAAAATATCAAAATAAAATCTAGTAGAGTAAAAGAGACACCCACTATAACTATGTGTATTCTGTGTTGACATTGAGACAAAAATACTTTTTCCACATCAATGTGATGTTGCTAAACTGACTGCTAACTGCTAAAGATTTGTGTAAAGGAGGGTCAAAGTGTGTGTCAGTCATTCCATAAGTCGTTTCTAATCGTTAGGAATAGGTGATCTCTGTTTGGTTACCAAAGCTAAAACAATGTAGTTTAGCCTCCTTTCATGATGTGTGTTACTTGTTTTTGTAAAAGAGTGGTCAAAAGTTTCTTTATCAGGCCAAAGCCATCAAGGTTAGCTGTGAGGTTTGCACAGTTAGCCGTGCAAGACTAGACGGTGTGTTGGCTCCAGAAGAAGATGTCTGAGTAAACAGTTTGTGTTTTGCGTGTTGGCTCATAAATAAGAGACGCACTACTCTGAATGTGCTGCTCAGCTGGCCCCATAGCGTTTTTAGTCTCATTTTGATTGCAATGATTTTATAAAAGTCGGAAACCCGAGTAAAATATAAATTAAATTAATATTCGATGATAGACAAATCTCGTAAGTAATTTTTTTTTTTTGCAAAATGGCACATATTAAACATCGGCACTGGGGAAAGTGGTTGCTGGACCTTTTGGGGAGGGAAATATCGACCCGTTAATCGTCTGGCAGTTTTGGGTCTTCTTTGCTGTTTTTGAGTTTGATAATGCTTTTGTTTTGCCGTGAGTCACATCACAGAATCACGCCTGTTTGAAATGCAGTTCTGTCTCACTAAGGAGCTGTTTTTATGCCCCCCAACAGGCAAATGAGCACATAACCAGTTATTCTTTGTGACAGTCAAATCACATCTAGAAATATTTAGTGCAAATTGGGAGAAACTACAAAAAAATACACGTATTTTAAGCTAACTCCAAGCACTGACCCAATTTCATCTGTTTCTCACTTATATTGCAGGAATGATTGTATTATGTAATAATACACTTTGATTGATTAGTGAGTCTCTACAGATACAGTAGATGGAGAAGCTCTGACTGATCGGTGCCTGATCTCATATGTTTCCAATTTATGTAAATTATCTAAAAAATGTAACATTTTTCTTTTTTTTTTCTTTCATTATTGATAAACATGAAACCTTCTCACACACATGCATAGAAAACACTGTTCCATTATCTAACCTCTTCTTATTTGTTCAATATTGACTCAGATTTTGCTGTCATTTTTTCTGGTGATTGTTTTTCTTATCATTATAATGTTTACACGTTACGTATTTGAATGAGTTGTTGGAAGTTTTACTTTAACCAAAGCAATTGAAGCTGCAGTACACTGTTTAACTTTTCTGAAATTCTTCATATAAGTGTTCTTATAGTGACCTCCACCCATCGTATCAGCAGCACTTGAGAAAAATTTTCCACATTTTCCTTGAATATTGCCTGACTTTGTTTGTTTTGCAGAGATCATCCAGGAGGAGAATGTCATTTACGACCCACAGACATTGTGAGTGCCCCCCACTGTTGTTTGTGAACCTGATAGTTCAAGCACAAGACAAATGTATCTGATAGAGAAAAGAAAGAAAACTACACATTTTTATTTATGTATACAAGAATAAATATAATAGGTATATGCATATCAGAGATAACTTGAATGGTCTTGTATTGCTCAGTTCCTTTTCGTGATTTTCCTTTTTAATTCACTGATTACTTAAAGCTGAAAAAATGCTGAGATTTGATAAGAAATCATCTTCCTTCTTCTAAAGCCTCAAGGCTTTTTTGCTAAGTGAGAATTAGATGTGAATATAACTCAGTTACTTGCTCAAAGTTGTGACCTAAAAATTCTGTTTTCAGTCAGCGGGGAGGAAGTAAATTTGTGGTGGTGGGATCAAAAACAGGTAAAGATCAGCCTAACCTCAGTCACCGAGTGCTCTCAAAATGTAAAAAAAGGGCACACATATAACTTTTTTTCTGTTTTCTTTACTGTTGTATTTTCCAGTCACCACAACCAATCAACTGTCTTCAGCCACAGCGTATGTACAGTGAAAGGTCGTCTCTCTTCATCCCTCCATCCCTCCATCACAGAGACGGGTTCACATGGATGACAGGACTAACACCCATCTAAAAGCTTCACATGTTGAATGTTAATGTGCTCCAGTTTAGTCAAACAGCCCCATTTTCGGACCTCTGATTTGATTAAGAAACAGCGCTTCTCGGCAGATTTATTTAAAGATATTCTGACTCCTTTCATCTAGTAGTCATTTTTGTCATATTATTGGTCCCAGAGTAATGCTTTCTGTTAATTTCCTTGTGTTTTGGGGTAAAACAAACAACAGAAAACATCCAAATAAGTGTAAAGTGCTGTTTTTTATTTAATTCTAAGTGTAATTTTCTATCTTAAGCATCCTAAGGGATGGGACAAAACCTATTGTTGTACAAGGAATGGATTTTTGTTCAGATTTTCATGGTGCAGTTAGAGGAGGGACGAAAGTCAAAGTTTAGGATGAAACAAGATTGAGAACAACAGCATAAAGCAGGATTTCCTTAATGGAGTTAAACAAAAGTTTTTTTTTTACTTTCAGCGAGACTATTCAGGAATCTTCATTTACAGAAGGTAGGCATTTGATTTATTTTGTTTATGAAAAACATTGTTTTGGATTTATATATTAAGCATGTAATCTTGATGTGTTGCAGCTCAAACTGATGGACAGTCAGACTATCAAAACAGTGAGTCCATTTACGGCAAATTGGCACATTGATCTAAATGTTTTTTCTCATTCGTTTTTGATGAATTTGTCATTTAACCGCATTACTTGGGGGTCTCAGTGGTTCACTCTTTCTCGGTTTCATTCTTTGTTGCTTCAGTTCACAGCATCAGCTCCACTCCAGAACACGACTACGTGTAAGTGTTCACTCTCTCGAAAAAAGCCACAAACACTTCACTGAAGCTCTTAAACACATTTGAATAAAAGTCAACACATCTCATTCTACAGTCCAACCTTAACAACAAAGCAGCCAGTGTAAACAAAAGTGACTTTTCTAATACATTAAAACAGTCAGTTTCCGATATGATAAAGAAACACAAGTACAGGTAATAGGTTAAATATGTCGAAAAAGAGTAAATAGCACCAAAAACGTCTTCTGACAGAGTAAGAAAATGGATCAAAGACCCGAAAAATTAATCCGTTGTCTTGAATAGAAACAATTCATTCAGTTTATTTAGGACTGCGTTTCAGTTTTATACTTGTCAGCTTTGTAACTTTGGTGTTTTTGATTCCAAGCATCAGTTTAAATGGAGCCAGTTTAGATAGTTTATGCATAAAACATTTTTTTTTTTTTATTGAGCATGTATTTAAGTGGGAAAAAATAAAGATGAAATATCCAGTCAAAGGCAAACAGATTCATACAAACATCAGGAGAAAGTCTGTAGGGAGCTTTGAATGCACTCAGCAGCTCTTTCACATTAATCTTGCGTTTTGGAAGAACGGAATTCATCATTTTAGACCCGTACCTGTTTACACCATGCAAAACTGAATAAGAAGAACTGAAAATTTCTCTGCTGGAAGGAACTAACTCAGCAGGCTGCTATGGAGGAGCAGACGGCTGGATGGAGAAAGGCCTTCATTCCAAACACAAAAGCGATCTCTGTACTGGCCCTGCAGTATAGCACAGTGGAGGTAGCATTATGCTATGGGATGACCTTCCAGCTGTTTTCTGGATTATTGAGAGTAGATTGCTTGGAAGGAAGTACATACAGGATGCCTACAGCTGAACGACCTCAGCAGAAGATGCTGAATAAATGCAGCAGAAGATGCTCAAGAAACTGGAAAAAGTAGCAGCAATTAGCCGAAGAACACATCAAAATGTAACAGGACATAATATGAAAGTTAAAGAGTAATAGTTAAAGAATTTTAAGTTCTGAAAAATAAGCTAAATAACAGTAGAAAAATCCCTAGAGAAACTGATTCAGAACAAGCACAAGGCTTTTTATTTCTTTTTTATTTTATTTTAAAAGGCAAAATTGTAATGTATACAAAAGTTTGAGAGCTTTGTTGAAGCGCATTATAACAAAACTATTTCACTAGGACAATATAAAGAAAATAAGATTTTAAAAAATGTAAAAAATGTGGCAGCGTCCTTCATTTTTCATTCATTTTTCATTCCTAAAGATGAAAACATTCCTTAATGACCAAACTCGACCAGTTTTTCTGATTCTGTAGGTTACTGCTCAAATCCTAATGGCTGATCTGCTCTGATACTTACATTAGCTGAAAGAGGACACAGTTCCTTACGCTTTAGGGTATAATTTATGGATAAACGTTGAAAGCTGTGGAGGAGAGCTTGAGCAGATTTTTCTGAATTGGAATATTTGTTGTAGATATTTATGGCTGGAGTGTTTTACGTGACCCTGTGATCTCTTTAACTGCTGCCCATAGAAATGCATCGTAAAACGTGGAAGCAGCAAAAATGTTACTCATTTTTAAAC